ATTTGATACGAATTCAGGATGACGACACCGGTTTATTCGTCTCGAAACTTACTGATGGTGGTCCGGCGATGACTGCGGGATTACGCGTTGGCGATAAATTGCTTCGTGTTAATAAAACAGATGTTGTCAATGTACGGCATCAGGTATGTTTTCTTATTCTTTATATTTGCGAAACTTTGGGAATATTAAAAGTGTGCAATTTTTGCTTCACTGTTTTCGATCATAAACTAGCGTGAAGTGATTATAATTCAATATATTTTTTGAATTTCATTTTTTTTATTTTGGTATTCAGGTAGCGGTAACATCAATGCAGGATGCTCGAGATGTAGAATTAACGATTTTACGTGATTCGCGTGAAATGCCGTCTTCCTATATTGCTTTCTGTGGCTACAGTGTACGGAGTTTTGATTTTCGGAATATGAATTTTGCTTTCCCAAAATTTCCTTTCTGTGCAATTTATTTTGATGCATTTAAATAATGAACAGAATGAAATGTGAAATGTCGTTTTAGACATCTCCAAATCAGAGTATTGATAACTCATTTGTTTCGGAGTCAGTCGAAGCGTCATCATCTATGACAAAGGAGACGATTTCAACAACGATTCGCCGGGATATAAATGGTTCTCCGGGATTCAGTGTTGCAGGTGGTACAGGTGATGTACTCGTTATATCATCGATTGCTTCTGGAGGGGCAGCTGAAAGGGATGGAAAGTTGCGTGTTGGTGATCGCGTACTTTCGGTAAGATTGTTTTTCTGAAATTTTTAAAAGATTTTCAAACAGATTTTGATACTTTCAACGACAAATGCGCATTACAAGAATTGTTTTCAACGAAAGAAATTTTGGTTTTGTTTCATACGTTTATACATAACTCAGATAAATGGCACAAACATGAGAGGTGCACGACATGACCAAGCAGTGGCATTACTTACTGGACATAGTGGAAGTGATATTTATTTGGTGGTGCAGAGAGATCATGCAAATCAAAATGCTGCTATAACTACTTCTTCACCTAGGTAATTGCTGGAAAACACATATTTCATATTTAATCTAATTAATATCCACGTTTTAAAAAAATCATATTTAAGTTTATCGTCAACAAAAACACACACTGTTGAACGGACACCACCGCTAAAGAAACATGGTTTCGGTGATCCTTCTTGGGATGGCAAAACTGAGGTCAGTTGTTATATCATCATTTACAAATGCTATATGTAATATGGTTGCTTTTCTAACAGCAAATGTGAGGAAATCTTAGTCTGCTTTTCTCTTTACTTACAGATATTGAATCAAATAAACTATAAATAATATTAGAAAAAAGTTAAAACGGGAGTGCTGATTTATCATCGCAATTTTTTAATGTAATTGGAGGAATAAATCCACTAGGAAAATTTATAAGTAATGAAGGGATATTAGTAGTTCGAAGAAGCGATGTGGTGCATTATTTAAGCCTTCTCATTTATGAAAGTTTTTTTGAATAAAGCTTATATTTTCACATGCATGAAATAACTTTGCAGGAAGTAGAACTTGTACGCGACAACCATTCATTGGGCTTATCGATTGTTGGTGGCAGTGATCATTCTTCGCATCCGTTTGGCATCAACTCACCTGGCGTATTTATTTCAAAAATAACATTAAATTCACCTGCAGGTCGTTCACAGAGATTGCGCATTGGAGACAGAATATTATCGGTGAACAATATAAATATCCGTACAGCGAAGCATCAAACAGCAGTTGAGGTATTTCATCACATTCACTGTATTATATTACATTATGGAGTTGCTGGGCACTACAATTTTTCTTGTAATATGACTTTATCATCATTTATCTTTAAAAATTATTCCTTGCTGTGATGTTCAAAAAGTGCAATAACAAAATGTAATTATTTACGGACGCTAATTATAATTAACTTTCAAGCAAGTTCTAACCATTTGCAAAGTTTTGGCATGTCATTTTTCCTTCGTTCATTCAAAATTCTACATTTTAGGCTTTGAAGCAAAGTGATAGGACAGTGCGTCTGTTAGTCATTCATGAGCCACAGCCACCAGGCTTGAGGCAGGTAACAATCAAGCGAAATGTTGGTGAAGCACTAGGATTAAATATCTGTGGTGGTATTGGTAGTCCACCCGCAAATCCTCTTGATAAATCCGATGAAGGCATCTTTATCGAGAAGGTTTGTTTCACTTATGAAAAAGTACAAATATATGATAGTACTAGAAGTGAAAGATAGAATATTATTTGGATATAAAAATTGTATTGGGAAATCATTTGTGTAAGCATCATTTAAATCAAGATTCTATTTTTAGGTGGAACGAAGTGGTCCTGCAGCTGCATCATCGTTAACGGTAGGAACTCGTATTCTGGAGGTTAATGATGAGTCTCTCCTAGGATGTTCACAGGAAGAGGCAGCTCGTGTGTTACGTCAGTCTGGCACTACCGTGCGGCTCTTAGTATGTGATGCGTTCTGTGCTGCTGTAAGTTTTATCCTTTGATCTTGGAAAATATTAAGAAATTACGTTAGCAGGACGTATGCACTGAGCATTAAGCATTAAGTATTTGGATATGAATATTAGAAACTTATCTTTTTTTCTTTTTTTTTCTTTTTTTTACGATACTAACTTTTTCGTTTTCATTTAAGCAAATATTAACCACGATTTTTCTCAATTTTGATTTAATATATTTTTAGAACTTATTACCGTTTAACTTTTTTTCTTGTTAATCTTGGTCAACAGGATTCATTTCTGCTTCAGCTTTCGAAGAACTATTTTCAGATCACTCATTTGATTCTTTCTTACAGGTGTCTTCCTCATTCATGGGTCAAGCCAGTAATGATACGCGAGTTGTGGCCGGTGAACGTCAAGCAACTATTTCCAGCACTCTTTTAAACGCCGATATTCAGGGATCATTAAGCGGTTCCTCATTACAACCATTCAAATCACCTTCATCGCCGGATCCTGGAACTTCCGAAACAATCAGAACTCTGACTTCAATTTCAACTGATAGCCCCTTAGCTGCTTCTTCTCCAATTCCGCCTGTTTCTGCATCTTCTGTTGTGGTTATTAAATTTTTTTGCTTTGGATTTAAAGTCAGTTTCTTTCTTTCTAATTTTAATTCTGACATTCGAATTGTAGATGAGAATAAAAACTGAAGAAAAATGTATCAAAAAGGCTGAAGAATTTAGAAATTTGGAAATCAAAAAGCGATTTTGCATACCTTTCAATCGAACAAATGCATAATTTTTCAAGCATTACGAATGCGTAAGAAACAACTTTCATTGAGCAAGATTTAGTCCTAAAACTATTATGATTTCCGGGCCATATCAAGATGAGGCATATTCCGCATGTGCAGCCAGCAATACAACTTCCACTTAAAGATATTAGATAAAATTAGTACTATAAATTTGTCTCGTTTCTCTATTCACTCCGAATTTTTAGGCACCTTTATCAACGTCAAGCTTATCGCAGCCTTTGTCTCCATTTTCATCAGCGAATACTACCACATTTTCTGCTTCAAGCCTTCGTCCTGCAGTACCTCCTCCGATTGCCCCAAAGCCGAGAATCATTCCAAATCAGGTAATAAATATGTTTTTTAAAAAAAGAATCCACAAATCTTCGTCAGGTTCAAAGTTCAGTTTTTTACATTGCTTTCACCGTTTAGTCTAGAGTAGAATATAAGAAATTTTTTGGCGAAGTATCATATTCAATATAACCATCTAAATTCGGTGTTTTTTATACTGTTCCTCGCTTGTCATTTTTTCCCACACGGTTCTAAAAATTTATCTTTTCTGCTTTCGAACGTTTGATTCCGTATATGTTCGGCTTTTTTTTTTAAATTTGATTTCGTTTTGTTGTTTATTTTACTAAATTTTCAAAATTTTGTTAACATTAAGTAACATTTAAAAATTTGAGCTACACATTTTTCATATGCCTCATTGTTAAATTTTTTTGGAATTGAATGAGGTGCTTGATATTAACGTTGGGTTGAGTGCTCGTCGCTTCTTATTTTCTCGCTTTTTTGTTATGTCTTTCAATATGTATATTCCTTATGTAAATATATATGTGGATCCATAAAAACAACATAAATATTAACACTTATCATGATGTTCCCTTAACAAATCAGAATTATGTGTCTGTTACAAATGGTAGTAACTGTAGTTGTAGTGTTTCTAGCATGGCGGTATTTTTTTAACGAGGAATTTATGCAAGATTCTATCCTCATGCAGAATGGAAACAAACTCACTGTATAGTAATCCACTTTTTTTTTAAAATAATGGCTAAACTGCTAGTATAATCAAGCTTGAATGAATTCAAACCGTCCATTCTGAATAACTATTGCATAATTTGAATATATCCATGATCTTTTCCTGTTAGGATTTATGTATGCGTTAGTTAGTACGTTTAAAAAATATGATGTGGAAAATTCTTGGACTGGTTTATTTTCCTAAATTTTAGTGTAACTTAAATATATTTATTCGTAGAATGGGAATGCAGTTGGTGCATCTTCACCGCTCACTTCTTTTGATGAACAATTTGAAAAGCAAAAAGAACGCATAGTTTCGTCAGTGCAGGTCTTTTTTTGAAGAATCGTGTCATATTTGTTCCATTTTCTTAAATTCCCCGTAGTAGCTAAATTTATGGGCATTTTTACATCTTTTAAAGTTAATTTTAGATTCTTCGCTTTCTAAAACGTTAATTTTATAGGAGGGAGTGATTTTTGTGCTAAAAATGAGATATTTTACTGTGTCAAATTTTGACATGAAAAGTCGATTAACTGAACAACATTATTATGTCTGAAATGTTCCGAAATTAGTCGAATCCGTTTTCAGTCCTCATCTCCATCCACGTCGTCTTGGTCATCGACTCCGAATCCCGAACGGTTGGCGTTTTCGTCGAAATTAGAGAAATTCGAACGCGAAATTGAAATTAAAAGGCCAGACGCTAATTCCACGACAAAATCCACCCTTCCTCCTGGTTAGCACTTTTAAATAAGAGTTTTTTCCTTCATTTTTAAAATACGTCTTATTCATCCTGATGTTATTACATTCGAAATGAAAAATGCATTAGCACAGCATTAATATTAATGTTAAGTTTAACTTTCCATTTAATAGCATGATATTTTCATTGCTTGTCGCTTAAATCTTTTTTCTTGCAAGCTTTGCATGCTGCCTGAACCTATTTTTGGGTGAAATTATTGCGTGTTCTTAAATGGATAAGAAGAGTTTTAGAGTGATGAGTTTGATTGGCAGAGTGGAAAGAAAGTACGACACTGTCTGGTGTTTGTACAGTGTTCTTTGAATTATGATTCGTCGCTTACTCTTGTTCCTAGAATTACAATATTCAAATGATTAAAGTTCGTTAACAGCAGTTTATTAATCACGATCTCAAGATTTAGAAGAAGTTTTAGGATTTGTGAGAAAAATAAAATTAAGAAATTGATTTCTTGACGGTGAATATAATTTTGGATTTGGGAAGCTCTTCGTATTAGTGTTAATTGATAAAAATTGTGTTATATATGGTTTACAAATTAAATCAAATTCAATGATTTCGGTTGGAAAATAGTTTCATTTATAGATACCATTAAGTAAAATTCTATTTTTCTGAAGTTTTGGAAAATATTAGAAAAATTTCAGTCCTACAGAATGCCTGCGTATAATGTAAAACGATCATGGCCATCAACTTATATTGCTGTGGTATCCGTCGGAGTACTTCTTCTGTAATTTATTGTGCGTTCTTGATGTTATGGCCGTTGTTTATTTGTAGTCATTTTCACTTATCTTTCCGGTTTTGTTATTGTTTTAATCATGTGCAGTTTTAGTCGGAAATATTTTCAAGAACAGATAAAAAAAGAACTACACAGATACTTTCCAAAAATTTTCTCTCAAACTTGCTTACTATTTGGCAAATTATGATGTAAAATGAGAGAATTCATATAAATTTTTTTAGGTTTCTTGAAATTTTTTAAAAATTCTAAAACTGAGAAAGTAAGACAGTTTGGTTGAGTAAAGCTCATTTGATTTACTGAAGTATTTTGCGAATTCGAATATTAAAAAATCCATTACATTTATCTCTGTTAACTAAAAACAAATTATCTTTTTTCTGCATCCGTTTGATTGTCTGCGCTTTACAGTTATATGTTGCTTCACACCTTCTCTTCCAATTAAGTTTTAGCGTTAAAACTTTTATTGATATCTTTTATTTTATCGTCCTAGATAAGCCGTTAGATTTTAAATTGATGAGCTTATAATTATCACAACCGAAACCAGATTATTTTCATTTCATCAGTTTTAATATTACAGGAAGATACATATACATGCAGTAAATACATTTTATAGAATTTTTTTTTCGTTGCATGTAATTTATTTTCTAATTTTTATCGTAATTTTCATGTCGTGTATTCTTCTAAACGATGTTTTCCCGTCAGTATTACTAAAATTTAAATGTTTGATATTCCGTGTTTTAATGTTTCTTGACTCACTTTCTAAAGCGGTTTGAAATTACGAGTTTTCATTTATTATTCCTTTTCTAATGAGAGTTTAATCGCAGTTATCGTTAAATTGATTACTACGAGGTAGAAAAGAGAATGGGAACATTCCTCTTGGGATTTTCTAGATTTTGAATGGTAGCTATTTGAATAAAAGATTTAAATTCAGCAATAAGAAATTAGCTCATCTATGCATTCAACAGTTGGAAATATTTCTTTTAAAATAGTCTAAAAATAAGGAATGCTATGCTGCAATATTCACTTTCACTAATGTTTGCATGACTTTGATTTAGCTTGCTATTGTCATGATTTTATTTGTCTCTTTTCATTTATTTTAAAATTCTCTCTTTTTGACCATTTATGACCATTTATTGAATGAATTGCAACATTCTTGTTTATTTGATATTACCATGGTGTTACCGGTTTGTGATCATTTTAGAATACACTGTGAATGTTGTCAAATTTTAAGGTAAAACTTTTAATTCACTTCTGTTTTTGTCCTACAGTTCTTGATTAAAGTAACTGATGAATTTCTTGCGAGGATCAGAGGACACCTGTTATTTGACAAAGACTTCCTTAAAGTTTTCAAAGCAGAGAGATTAACTAATCGCGTGTCCTTTAGATTTCTGAACATATCAGTTTAGCTGATGAAATTAAATGCTGTTTGATCCTTTTTTGAATATTGATATACAGTCTCACTTGGATCTTTCGTGTTCCTTCGTCCTTGTTTTAAAAGATAGTCAAATTTTGAATTTCAAACCTCTTGAATTTCAAAGCTCAATTACCAGAAAATTATATTTTTAAAACATTGATTTCAGCGAAGAAACCATTGTTAAATGAAGATGAAATTCAAAAGATGAAAGAAGAAGAAACGAGAAAAGTAGCAAGCGGATCGGCACGAATATCCGTTAGTCCCACTAATGATGAACTCGATCGTTCATTCGAGCATATTCTCAATAACAGGTTTTTCGTATTTTTTGCATTTCAATAATAGGGGTCTAAAACTGCCGATTTTTCTTTTCGATGCAAATGCTATAATTTCTATTTTGATTTAATTGTATACTGAATAATACAGCAGTTTCAATTATCATATTATTCAGTACAACATTTAAATCAAAACGCATTGGAATCATTATACATTGTGTAAACTATGAAATGGCAGAGTTAATTATCTTAGATCTTTCCTATATGTTCTATTTTTCATTTAATTCCTGTCATAGATAAGGGGCATCTAAATTGCAGAAGTTTCTCGCAAAACTTAATTTTCCATAGAGCAGTATTTGCTATAAGCTTTTGCATAATAAATTATCCTTTTTGACTTTCAAATTAACAATGAAGCTTCCCTGAAATTTGTAATTCATTTTTTTGCACTGAGTTGAAATTATTTTTGTAGTGCGGTGCCTCGCACAATGCCAGCTGTAATACGTACAAAAAAAGCTGAAAATCGTTTGGCAGCATGTTCTCCATCCCAGATTATGAGCGGTGAACCACTAAATTCGGTTGAGCAACGAGCTATGGAACATCAAAAGCGTCAGGAATGGCGACAAGCTAGGTAATTTACTGCTTTGGATGAATGAAATTACTTAACATATTATTTAGTAGCTTTTCAAATTTTTCATGACATGGAAGAGATAGAAGAAAGAGAATCAATATTTGTAATATCAGAACACTTATGCAATTTGTGATTTGTTCCACCTAAAGCGGTTTTTCCTTATTTTTTCAATTTTGGTTTTGTTGCAGGTTTAAATCTTTGGAAGCTGACTCGAAAGCAGCGGAAGAAGTTATGCAAAAAGTTGAGCAGATTAATAGTGTAAGTTTTCTTTTTATTTGTGGAAAATGGGAATTTGAAATCCTATGCTTCTTATTAAGCCAATAAAATAAATGCTGGCGTTTCTTGCAGAGGCTGGCAAATATAACAGAAGAACACAGCAACTTTCCTCCGCCGATAAATGAGAAAATTTTGCAAAATGAAACATCATTTGAACGAAATGAGTATGTCGATCCAATTACTGGTGCTACCACTATTTCACTTGTTGAAAAAAGTATTACTCAAAGAGAGGTGAACTGATCGATTTTAGAATTTTTTTAATCAGCATAATTTTGGACGAATATTTCCATTTCATACATAGAGTATCTTTACTTATTACAATGATCAAAGTTTAGATACTTCCTATCGTAAGTCTGCTGGGAATTAATTACCAGGGGTTGTATTTATTAGGACAATTGATTCTATTTTATTAGCTTTATAAGAAGAGAATACTTTCTTTTACCTCCTAATTTACATTTTAGCTCCACATCTTATCCCTTTTCGAGACTAAGCATCAGAGAATTATTAAATCTTTTTATGCTTGATCTTATCCATATCTGCCTGTGTGTTCCCTGAAATTAATTTTTTTCAAAATAACCTTCATTCCGTTATTTAAAATATCTTTTGATTGTTTCGATCTGAAATTAAAATTAATAATTCATTTCATTCGAAAAGCAACCGAAAACAAAAAAAGATTTCGATTTTGTCGATGAATTAGTTTTATCAATTATGTAGTTCTGTCCGGATTTTCTATTTCACAAAATAACTGTATTTAGTTTTGTATTTATTTTTTTCAGATAAACACATCTTCGACAATGATCAATGATTTAAACACAGAAATAGCGAATAATTCAAAACAATCCGCTGAGATAAATGTCAGTCAAAACTGACGTAAAAGCACAAGTTATGCTATAATTGTGCACTACAGATCACTATAATCTAGGGAGCTATTGTTGTCTGGTTTTAAGCCATTTTATGAATTTACGGTTTTTATTGTGCGGAATATATCAGAAAACTAACTCACCATTAAAATATGCTTATCACAATATTTGTAACATTTTTTCAGAATTTATTTCGCGAATTTATGACGCTTCAATTAGTATGGAAATCAGTGTGTAGAGCTCTGGTTTCTTGTTTTTTTTTATTTTATCTTTTATTAAAATTCATATAGCCAATGATAATCATAAATTTAAAGCAAGTTTTCATTCAACATTTTGCATTATTTTTCTTTCATTCAGTATTTTATTGTATTTGAATTCTTGCTGTTATCCAGAATATTTCTGTATAGAAAAATATTTTTGATACATTTTTATGAAAACAAATGATTTTTTAGTTAGCTTCTAAGAAATAAAATTGAAAACGATGACGAGCAGTTTTCTGATATTGCTCCTTTGGTTACAAGCATTTCAGCAATGGCTTACATGCTTTTTATATAGTGTCAAAAATTTGTATGCAAATGCTTCT